AGAACACAGACCATTTCCATCCAATCCAGCAGAGAGCCAACTTCCTATTCACCCATCCACGATTTTTACCCAAGTATGAGTTTCTTTCTGCTTTTATGTAGCTAATCTCCATCCTATTTGTCATTCAATAGCAGGGCCTAAAGTTCTGCTGAAGTAAAGCAAGAATTTAACAAAGAAATGTGATCCCAGATAAAGTCAGACTGAAGTCTCGCTTGGAATGTTTAAAGTTTACTACGAGGAGCTGTGTGAAAGCTTGTGCCTGCTTCTGACAGCTTTGCTATTTCTTTGTATATCTGCCTGCAGCGTCTTGATAGATCCAGAAAATAAGTCCACTAAACACCAGAATGGTGATACTGAACCAAAACGCAGCACCCCAAATCACCGGATTCTGTAACATCGCTTTAATCATGGATCTCTTCGTTAACCTAGTCACTCTCAAGCTAAAGATTTTTTTTTAAACTATTAATTCTTTGTTGCAAGTGTTTTTTAGAGAAAACAGAAAAACTACGCCATGCATGGACTTCTTGTGTCTGTACAGGACTTGCAGGGACACATTTGACATCAAGTGAGCTCACTGGCTGGGCCTTCATCATAAAAGGTTTTCAGTGCTAACAGAATGTTTATATACACTTGTTTTGGCATGTAGTTGAGGAGTAGAGTGAGTCTACCTAGTAACTTCTCAGGTTGTAGCACATTTTGTTTGGAATCTATCCACTCAGAAATTGAGAATAACTGCAATCGTTTTCTTCCAGTCTGTATAAAGTGACTGAAGTTTGTGAAGGGTGCCTGAGAACATTATTATCAAGAGCTGTGCTTTTAAATCATTAAAGAAAAATTAATAAATACCCAGTATGACGTAAGGGTTGAGCTCCCTAATCCGAAAATCTGAAATCTGAAAACCCCCAAATCCAAAACTTTCTAAGTGCCAATATAATGCCACACTTGGAAAATTCCACACCATTAAACCTTGTTCCATACGTGATATTATTAAATATGTCATAAAATTACCTTCAGGATGTATTTGCAAGGTACATGTAAAGCATAGATGTATTTTGTGTTTAAACTTGGGTCTGATCCCTAAGATGTATTTTTATGTACATACAAATATCCCAATACCTGAAAACCTCTGAAATCAGAAACACCTTTGTTGTCCAGCATTTCCGATGGGGAATCTTCCCCCTGCCATGTTTGTCCCACCCCCTCACATTCCAGTCTGCTCACAGTCCTGGGTGACTGACCCAGCACCCAGCACCCAGCTCCTGACCTCCACCTTCCACCCCCTGTATCTCCTGGGTTGGCAGCCATGTCCCAGACCTCGCCATCTCTTGGAACAGCCCTCCCTGTGGGGTGATGGTGGCTTGTCCTCCTTCCCTGACCACAGCCTCGTCTTTCCACTGTCCCTTCCTGGGAAGCCCCTGGATTTGGATTTTTCATGGTTTCAGGCTACAGATGCTTGGGCTGTTTCTTATCCAGCCAGCCTACTGCATGGTTCTGTCTTGCCCACCTGGAGAGCCTGTAGCCAACTGCTGTCCCTGTCCCCACACCTGTGGGTGCTTAGGGCTCGGGAGTGAATCCCCTGCTCACCAGCCTAGTGCTTCCACACATGCGTGTACCTCACTGCAGCAGGGCTCCGCAGGGCCTTGTACTCAAGTTGCTTCTGTTTCCTGGTTTTGTTCCCACCTACACGGTTTTTTCCAGTGCCCCGCCCCTTCCTGCATCCCCTCACTGGCCTGACAGTGATGTTTAGGTTCCTCATTTGCCCTGCCAGGATCACTATGGCTAGTCCGGGCCCTGCTTCCTGGCCTTCTGTTGCCCCTCTACCCAGAACACACCTTGCCCACTGCTGTGAGCTCTGCTGAGATCTGGTCTACACCAGCTTTCTCCTCTCCACGGGCTTGCTGTCTGTCCATGTGAAACTTTCTGGCCCAGCCCGGGCTCCTCTGATGCTTTTCCTGTTCATCTCCTGCTATCCTAGTTTAGGCCTTAGTAGAGGTAGCTGGGTTGAGCATCCTGACTTGGAAATGTTTTGAAGTCTGAAACATTTTTAGTGCTGCTTGAACACATCTGGTCCCAGATGTGGGCAAGGGTTCCTGAATTTGTGCTGTGTATTGAAGAGGGTCTGTTCCTCCTGCAGAGAACACCAAGTGCCCTGGCTTCCCCCTCCCGAACTCTTGTACTTCTCACAGACCTCTTCCGTCATCGCCCATTTATTTGACCATTTCTCTTTATTGGTTTCTAGTTTTGTGAACAATAATGTCTCTTTTGTCCATGACCGTATGCCTCGTACCTGGAAATGGGTCAGACATTCAGTTAATCCTTAATAAACTTTTTGAGTGAGTGAATGATTTCACAAAGTGTTCATTAAACGATTAGTGTGTGGTCACTGGGACAGCATCACCTTATTGAGATTATTCTGATGACTTTGGAGGACTTCTGTCTTTGCTTCTCTTCTCGTCCCCTTGCCCATCTCTCCCTCCTTCCCTTTCAGTAACCCTGTGGGCTGAGTTGTATTCTGTCAGTTCTGTGAATAATGACACCATGGGGTGTCTTGCTGCATTTTTAATCACCTCTCTGTCCTGCCTTTTTGTGTGTGTGTGGGAGTGTTTTTGGGGTCTAAGGAGGGGCTGGACATGTCTCAGTCCCAGTAGAAATGTAGTCAGGTAAAGAAAGGGTAAAAGAAATAGCCACTGGACTGTGGGGGTAGTTTTGTGGTGGCTTTTTGCACACAGCACTGGGGATGACTTAGATTTGTACTAAATGCTTTGAGAATTAGTAATATATTTTTGTAATAAGCAAAATAATTAAGTAGCATACACTGCTTTATGACTATTCTAACACAATGTTATAAAATAAGTGAATGACATTTTAAAATACATTTAGTATTTTAAAATACTTTACATTTTAAAATACCTTTAGTTTACAAAGGTAAGTTAAATAAATGTTTTAGTTCTTATGGATTTTCCATCTCCCTGGTACTCAAATAATGGAAGTATACTTGCCAGGATTGGAATAGGACTTATCTTTGTTTTTTAAAAAAAGAGTATATTGCTAAATAAAGTTCTAGTTCTATTCCAGAAACTTCACTTGTGAACTCTGTTACTGATCTTACAGGAGAATAATGAAAAAGGTCTCCATGGAGCCGTCTGAGCGTCTGGCCAGTCTCCAGGCCCTGTGGGATGGCCAGACTGTGGCTGAGCAGGGGCCCTGTGGTGAGCATGCGTTTTAAACCCTAGAATGGTAAACAGCCTTGCTGTGATGACCCCTGCCTGGAAGTTAGTTCTGTTCCCAGTATGCTACTGTAAAGGTGCAATTAGTTTCAAGGTGTAATTAGCACTGCACAGACTTGAGATTGGTGGGCAAAAGTCCTATATTTAAGTTGAATCGCATCCTGCTGTTTGCTCACTACAGGATGGGGAAGAATCTTCTTTTTCCCCAAACAGAAAGGATAATCAGCCTTGTCCACAGTAGCCATATTTAAGCTTTTACGTTTTTATTTAAGAATCATTTTGCTGAAGACTTGGTCAAGACTGCAACATTTTTGTTTTATGTGTTAGGTGGATTTTCTCAGATGTATGCCTGTGTCTGTGACTGGCTTGGATTTTCATACCGAGAAGAAGTGCAGTGGGTAAGGATGTCTGTGTACGTGTGCATGCCCCCAGACGCACCTGGGGAATAGTCTAATGTCTGTCTCTGCCTCTCTGTCCCTTCCTCTCTCCTTTCCTCTCTCCTTCTGCCTTCTATATTCATGTTTTGCTTAACATGTTTCTTCCCCAGATTACATAAAAATCTGCATATGGTATTGTCTAATTTTCTGCATTTGACTTGCTTCTTTGATCGTCGGCATAGATTAACTTTATGACTGAATTATATTTCAAATAGGATGTGGATACAATTTATCTAACTCAAGACACCAGGGAGTTGAATTTACAAGACTTCAGTCACCTTGACCACAGGTAAGCCCATTCTGGTTTCCTTTCTTCCTGTCTTCTAAATTCATTGTAAGAACTACAGCTCTGAGGTCCTTGACCTCCAGAAAATCCTTTTGTAAGGGGAATCAGGAGAATATAAGAATCTCTGGATTTTACTGTTCAAATAATAGTTGCAGAAATGTTTATCACTGTAGATAGCTTTTTGGAGGTGCATCTGTTCATATTTAGAAACTGCTGAATTTTCTGTGGTAATAAGTATAATTCTTAGATTCTTACACTGGCTTGCAAAATCTTTTTAATCTCCTCTGTATATGAAATATAGTTTAGTTTTACCAATTACTATTTTATTGCATTATTTCTAGGATTACATTTTAAGAGGAAATCCTAACAATTCAAGATTTCTTTATGAATTGGGAAATCGTTCAGATAATTATGTAGATACAGTATTGGTAAAAGTCAGATTTGCCAATATCTGCCATGTGATACTAATACGAAAATCATGAAACAAGTTACATGTTAAAAATCTGCATATGGTATTGTCTACTGTTTTGCATTTGTCTTGCTTCCTTGATTGTCAGCATAGATTAACTTTATGACTGAATTATATTTCAAATAGGATGTGGATACAATTTATCTAACACAAGATAAATTGAGAGGCTTTTTCAGGTTTTATGATCTTGATGTCCGAAGGCCTGTGACAGAGGTCCCGGAGAAAGGTCTACGTTCAGTTCCCTTTTCTCTCGGCAGGAGCAGACCTGTCAGATTTACTTAGCTTCGTGGCACACTGAGCCTTGGCCCTGCTCCAAAGCCTCTGCTCTGCCTGTTTAACCTGATCTACTCTGTCCCTTCACCCTCCACTCTTTCCATAGGTGGGCACCTAGCGCCCACCATGGTGGCCCCAGCACAATAAATCTTTTGTCCCTGTTCAGAATTGAGAGAAATCTGAGCTTTTAGCAGTATGTTTTATGTCACTGGACACCTGGAATTCACAGAGAATTGTAGCTGCTGCTGCTGCTTAGCATCAGCGTCTCGTCCCCCAAAATAACTATTTCAAATGATGTTTCCGCCTACCTGGCAGGAGAGGCAGCATATCAGTGGGCTCCCTGGAGCATTCAAAGCAGCAGACCAGGGCGAGGAGGCTGCAGGCTAGGAGGTTTCAACTGCTCTCTGCATGGCCGGGGTCCTCCCATGCCGGAGTGGCAGGCCTGGCTGTGTCAGAATCTGTGGCTCCTGGGCTTCAGCCTTTGATTCTGGGTCAAAATTGCTTTCTTTTTGCAGGGCAGGCAATTTTCCCCTGCCATGAGTTGTTTATTCTGTATGTAAGAATCTTCTTATTCTCAAATTGAAGCAAGGTGTTTCCTGTGTAGTTCATAAAAAAGTGAACTGAGAGAGAAAAAGGGAAAATATTGTGCATTGTAAGTATTTTACATTTAAAAAAAAAAAAAAAAAGAAACTTCCTGTGGAATCAGATGTAAGTATTTACATCCTCAGTATCAGGTTTAGATGTTTTTGGTTCCAGGTCCCTTTTCCATTCTTTGAATGATTGGTCTTTATTGTGTGGGTTGAAACTCAAATGGGAAATATTTATTATTTCTTCTAAAGATAGCATTACTAAACCACTACATGCTAGCATAGACACCATTTTTATGGGGAATAAACTATATGTAAATAAGCAAAAATGTGACATTGGCTTGCTTTTCTGTAGATCTCTTTAATGTTTGACTTGACTAACTAGAGGACAGCTGGATTTTCACAATTCCTTGTTTCTGGTCTCTTGTGACTCTTAGATCAGCTTGGTGCTATTTTGATTGAAGTATGTAAAGAAAGCCTTGTTTTACATAAGCATCTAGTTAGGAAAGAAAATATCTTTGACATATACTTATGGATATTCTCTCATAGTTCATCACAACTCAGTAAGTAGTGGTTTCTTAAAGATAAATAGCAATGCAAAATCTGAAACCATGTTAAGTAATGTTTTTGTACTTTGCTACATTAAAATCCACTTATTTCTCTATCTCTATTACTCCTTGAATGAGCTTTAGCCATGCATGGTTTTCTAGCATTATGCATTGATAGTTAATAAAATATTGGTTTACAGAGTTATACACAGCTTCCAAAATTTTTTCTAGTGTACAGTAGAAAAAGGGGGGGGGGGCACGTAATAGGTATCACCATTAATCCTTTCAAAAAAAATCTTAAGTACAACTGACTGTGTAAGTCATAGTGTTGAATAAAAGTTTACCAAGTTCAGAGTGTTGCTTGATCAGTATAATTTTACTAATCAGTCTGGTGATTTCCTTGAAGTGACTAACACAGCACATTATAGAGCAGTGTCTGTCAAATCCCCACTCTGAATAGCAATCTTTTCATGGTATCCCATGAAAAAAAAGGAGCCGTTTCTTTGTACAACCTCAGCTATCACACAAGTACTTTGAATTACACAACCACCCTTTTGGTGGGCAAAAGAAATATTTTTTATATCATTCCCAGTTTATTATACAGAGTTTTAAAATGTGTCAACTCAGGTGCCTAGATTTCATAAAGTGAGTAATTTTTCTTGTTCACTAAGGCTATTCCAAATTAAAATTGACATTTGACTAAAAACACTCTGAGAGTGTGGCGTGGAAAATACAGTGACTCCTAGATCAGCTTGGTGCTTCTGCCTGGTTTTTGTTCATGCACCCTCAGTTCCCCTGTTGCTGCTTTTGCATGTTTATGCAAATGCAGGATAATGAGAAGGACCTATTTGTTTTAGTCTCATTATAAAGAGACTCTTGACCTTGTCAGCCCTCTGAGTCTATTGTCTGATAGAAACCAGACTTCAAATTTTGAGTGTTGATCTTTGTTTTTTTCAGACTTAGCGGTATGTGCTATGATTCTTTGTCAGTCCCTGCCCCTCCTTGGTACTCGGACTTGAATCCAGGCCCCCATGAATATGTGCTCTTCACTGAGCTACAGTGCCAGCTGATATTCTCTTCTCACGCTGGACAGCAGCTGTGAGTTACAGCTCTAGAGCAGCTCTGGCACCCACAAGGAGAAGCAGCAGATACCGTTGCTCCACTGTGATGTTTGGTAGGTTAAGTGTGTTAAACACTTTCGTTTTTGACACAGGGTCTCACTTTGTAGTGCAAAGTTGCTATTACTATCCCAGGCTGCTCTCAAATTTGTGGCAGCAGTCCTCCTAAATGCTGGGATTACGTGTGTACCACCGCACCCAGCAAACACATTTTTGACTTAGGGTAGTTTCAGTTTATGATGGGCTTATTGGAAAGTAATGCATTCTAAGTTGAGGAGTATCTGTGTCGTTGACTCTTCATTGTAATGTGAAACCAGCAGCTCTGGATAACTTGTCAATGAATGAGAGTGACTGTGTTATAATAAAACCATATTTATACAGATAGGTACATGGGGCGTAGCTTGCAGACCTCTGCTATAGGCCAGGCACCTCCACTGTGGGATGATTGCAGTCATTGCTTGGTGTCCCTGAGGATTAGTGCCAGACCCCATGAGTATCAAGATCTATGGCTGTTCAAATCAGTTCCATAAAGTGACACATAGTGTTTGCTTTCAACCCCGGTATATACTCCCCTGTACTTTAAGTCATTTCTGTCTTGCATATGATACCTAATAGTAATGTTAATGCTATTGCAGGTAGTTGTTATATTGCAGTTTTTAGAAAATAATGACAAGAAAACTCTGTGTATGTTCCAGACAGACATAATTTTTTCTCTATTATTTTTTTTAATCCTTTGTTGAATCCATGGATGGGGTCACGGATATGTAAGAAGGACAACTATATATTTACATAATTAAAAATTACATTGGGTGAATCTCTTCCTCTCCATCTTTTTCTCTATTTCTTTCATTTCAGTTCTGGGGCTTGAACTTAGGCCTCCATAAAGAACCACATCCCTGGGCCTTTAAAAAAGTGTTGTCGTCCCCCCCCTCCTCCCAAGACAGGGCCTTGTTAAGTCACCTAAACTGGGCTTGAATTCGTGATTCTCCTTCCTCAGCATCCTAGAGTGCTGGGATTACAGGGTTGCATCCCCATATCTACCTCGCATGGGCATTTCTGTGTGGTACAAGTCTGAGCATACCTCTCCAGAAAGGAGTCCTTCTAGACTCAGGCAGTACAGGCATGTGGAAAGATTCAGTGATATATAATTTATGCGTGGTGCAGTTTCTTCTCTGAGGTTGAGAGGTTTTATAAAAATTTATACTGATATTTTCTCCTTTGGGTGTGAATTATGAAGGAGAGAAAAGTAGAATTAGATAAATTGGAGGTGTAAAGGGGGATGAGACATTAAATGGGCTTTGAACATAATTTAGATATAAGCAAGCAATTTTATCATTTATATTTATTGAAATGAGATGCTGCCTTCATTCACATATAGATAACCCTGAACTTGATTTTGGGGGGGGGGAGAGGGGCGACAGGATCTCAGACTGTAGTTCATGCTGGACCTGAACTCAATGTGTAGCTCAGGTTGATCTTGAACTCATAGCAGTCCTCCTGCCTCAGCCTCCCAAGTGCTGGAATTAGAACTGAACTTGATATTTAGCCAGGCTTCCCCCTAGAAGGTTGTCATTTCACATAGTCAATAAGAAAGTTCCATGATTGGCCAGTATCAACCTTTACTTTTTCATTCTACCTTTTCTCATCATTGCATTTATTACCATAGTAAGAAGCATCCATTCTTTTTTAAAGAGATTAAAACCACAAAATAAAACAGAATAAAGCTAATCAAAATGAAACAGTGAAAGTGCTATAGGACTTCAAGAAAAGATAATAGGAAATCAATAATGGCTACCACAGTGCCTCTTGTTATCTTCAGAATAACTGCCCATACCATCAGAGCTAATAAAATCAAACAAAACAGAACAGAATAAAACCAATCAAAACAATGAAAGTGATACAGGACTTCAAAAACAAGATAATAGGAAATCAGTGATCATTGCCATCATATATTTTATTATCTTTGAAATAGGTGCCCATGCTATCAGATAGAGTAAAATCAAACCAAACAAAACCGAATCAAGCCCATCAAAACAAGACAATGAAAATCATATAGGATTTAAATCAAGATAATAGGGAATTAATAGTGGTAACCACTTTTCCTTTTTAGATGTTTCTTCCCTTTTCACTTTTTATCTGTGGTACATTTTGGATCCCCCCAACTCCTTCAGTTTTTTATACTATGGAGATGACATGATATTCACCTGTGTGAGTCAAAAGAGCATGCTCACAAGTTGCATCCATTTACTTACAGAGCCTGTGATTATCCTTCTTTATAGCTGAGTAGCTTTCCATCCTATAAAAGTGCTGCACCTTTCTTATCCATTCTGTGGTTGATGGGCGAGCTACCCCTGCTTTTTTTTTTCTGGTTTCTTGCCACATGGAGCATTGTTTTCTCTCCTTTTCCAGTCTATGAATCTCCTTTTGAGTTAATGTGTTTCTTGTATATTGCATATTGATTGCTTCTTGCTTCACTCTGCCTTTCTTTTTATTGTTGAGTTGAGGCCATCTACATTAATGGTTACAGCCAATATGCAGTTTGCCTCGGCCGTGGTTTTTTATTGCTGTTATTTCCCTACTTTTCCCCTCCATTCAGTCTCCCCCTCTCAGTAATCCCACCCTGCTGCTCTTCCTGGGACTGTGGTCATTTTTATCTCTCTCTAGAGTGTCCTTCAGTACTCTTTGTGGGGTTGGTTTAGTGGTCATGAATTCCTTCAGTTGTTTTTTTGTCATGGAAGTATCCTATTTCTTTATTAATTTTGAAAGATAGTTTTGCAGGGTACATCAAAACTATAGGTTGTAAGTTGTCTCTTTTTTTTCAGGTTGGAAATAGTTTTTTTCAGAATTTGAAATAGTTCACTACAAACTTCTTGAATTGATGGTTTGGTGTGAGAAATCTGTTGTGATTCTGATAGGTTTCCTTTACATGCGATCTTTTTCTTTAACAGCCTTTAACATTGTGTTCTTGGCCTAAATTTCTGGGTTATTGATTATTAAATGTCTGGGTGTAGATTTATTTTGGTTATGGCTAGTTGGGATTCTATATGCTGCACTTATCTGTGTGTCAGATCCTTTGCCCGTGCTTGGGAAGTTTTCTGTTATTCTGTAAATAGCCTCTTCATGTCTGCTTTTTCCTTGACATGTATCACTCTTAAATTATTTTTGGATGCATGATCTTGTAGCCATTGAGTTGTTATTTCTTAGTTCCTTGTTATTTTTAAGAAATCTTTCCTTTCATGATTGCAAACTGCCATCCTATCTTGAAGATTTGAAAGTCTATCTTTCAATTTCTTTCAAGCAGTTTTGCCAGCTTTTAGTGGAGTTTTTAATTTTAATTGTCTGGGTATCTCTGTGAGTCTGCTTCATGCATTCCAA